AAACTAAAAAAACAAAAAAAAAGATCTAGTGTGTTTTATGTTTATACAGGTGCATATGTGCACTGCGTTTTAGAAAAGGGACAGTTTATTAAAAAATAAAACATTTTATCTTGTTTCAGTGAAAGTGTTTGCCTGTTTAAAAAAAAACAGTAAGTTTCTGAATTCTAAAAGGTTTTTCTGTGTTGTAGTAAATTTATTTGCTTTATCTCCTGACAGTTATTTAACACTCGGACAGCCTGGAACAACAGAAGGTAAACAAAGTCCTTTCATTTAAAAAAATGAGGCATGTGAAACAAACAGAATTAAAACGTAACTTTTTCTAACTTTGCAAATTAGAAAAGTGACTCAATTTGCTGATTTACTGTTTAAACTCCATTCTGCGGTTTCTAAAACAAACAGTCGTACCTCTCCACCATGTGTGTCTGATCTAAGGACAGTCCATCAATGGCAGTACATTCAGGACACTTGAACTTTTTCCTTGGGGTCACCTAAAGAGAAACAGAGCAAAGTCACTCCAGTGATGTCTGCACACTTACATGATTTGTTAATGCTCCGAGGCTCAGACAGAAGCTAGTCCTATTTCATCAGACGGGGCAGCGTTTGACTRGGTACCCAAACACTCTGAACTTGTGAATGGATGAGTGGAAAGAGGAAAGTGAGACATGGTTAAAAAGAATGATCTACTTCTAAGGAAACCTGTTGGGAGATAAGAGAGGAGGTGGGACGAGGAGTGCAGGTGTAGGGAAGTGTGGATTCATTGATTTGACAGAGGGGTATGCCTCAGCCCTGGTGAGCTTAACTAAACATACTCAGAGGGGGAGTGGCGGTGAATGACACCCAGATAAGGGAGGTTAAGGTCAGGCTTAAGCTCAGGGCCCCTGTACCTGGGGGAGAAACAGTGTGTGGAGGTAAGGAGTGGGAGGGAGGGGGGGTGTTGTGGTGTGGAAGGGTGAGAGCTGATCAGAACCAGAAATGTTGCTCTGCTACTTCAGACTTCAGCCTCCCCCCTGCCCTGCCAGTGTAAAACAACTGCAGRGAAAACAGTTGGGACTGTACCTTTATGGGGGCTTTTCCTGTGATGTTAGCCACCAGGAAGTTCATTGCAATATCTTCACAGTTCATATGAGCATCCACCCAGTTCTTGATGTCCCCTGGCATTTTGTATGTGTACAAGTAATTGAAGTACTGAAAAAAAAAAAATCGACATTCATTGCAAGGAATATAAAAAAGGAACCTCTTCACCAGTTAAATACCATTTCGAAATAAGTCACTAAGCCATGTGAAGCTCCTAAAAAACTTGTTAAAGACCAGAAGAGAGGCTCTAAGTAGAAAACACTTTCTTAAAGTGCCTGTGACATCAAATTTTTATAATAAATATGAATGCTTTTTTGGAAAAATAACATTGATAGCATATTGTAAAAAAGATTTCATGCCACCAAGATGAACAGTTGTTGAGATATTCACATGTTAAGAAACAGGAAGTGATGTCAACGGGGAATGTCTGAATATAAACAGTGTTGCTAAAATGGCTAACAACATAGATCGTAGAGAGGAATCTGAGGCTTCTTTAGATTATTTTAATCACTATCATAGAGATAAGAAAGAGTCATAGTTCAAATAACATTTCAATAAACAAAAATCAGGGAGTTTTCTTTCTCAAAGAGTTCCCCTTTGATGTCACTTCCTGTTTCACTTTAGCTGAGCTAAGCTCACAAGAAAATATACTAATTATGAGACYTAACGGGTCAAATCATGTGTATTATGCCAAGTTTCTTAAATATAAATACATTTTCTTTGACTTTAATGCAGCCAGGCTTCACCTTGTGGTAAAAAGCAGCTCCTGTTAGAACCATGGAAACCTCATTGGTCCACTCTGACTCGTACTTCCACTTCCCCATTTCATGGTCCCAGAGGTGCAATCGCCCCGGGTAGCCCACCAGCCTGTCGGGGAACTCTCGCCACACCTGGYGGGAACAGCAGAACAGGAGACGGATTGTCTGATGTTTTTGGCTCAAATAAAGCACTGAAGTGTAAAGAAGAATGATTCAGATTAAGTCTGAAAGCTCAGAATGAACTGTTAAGAATTAAACTACAATACATCAGTGTTTGCTTCTTCAACTTGGAGCCAAAAATCACAACTGAACTTTAAACARCAGCAAAGCCAAATATATATCTGAACAAGCCTACCAACAGCAGTGGATTTGATCTTTTTACAGAAAGTAAGGTGCATTGTCATCAGTCAGAAAACTCTTCTATTCTGCCTGCAATTCCCTGTAATTACCCTTAAACTGAGCACAATTTTATTAAATAGGTTCTAAATGGATTCAGGTGAACATGCTGCACAGAGCGGGGCCTGGCAGGTATGTGAATATGGAAAGCATCAGCTGCAGTCCTGTCATCTTTCTTACCACATCAAACACATTCAGCAGGCAGTCAAATCTCCAAATAGTGAAAAATGGGAATATAATCTCGCCGAGAAACGTTTAAACTCCAAGCTCAACTTGAAAAGATTTTTTTTGCTCAACCTGCCATCAGAAGATGCTGAAGTATGATCAAGGCAAAGGGTTTACAAAATGAAAAAGAAAAAAAAAGTCAATTTCTCACCTCGTAACCAAACTGCAGTTCATCAGATGTTAGCATGATGATGTCATCATCAATGGCGAGCACAGCTTCTGTCTCAATCTCATCGTAGGGGAAAAAACGGTTACTCAGTTTGTTRTCTTTGGTGCGCACAACTTTCAGAGGAACACCGACTTTTGGCCAAAGAGACTCTGCCAAAAGGGGAAAAAAAAAATATGACTCGTTTATAGTTTCATGTATAAAAATAAAGTGCTAAAATAATTCTGTCATTTAATTCATTGATAGTAAATTTAAAAAGTAATTTTATCAGGAATGCAAACATGTTTTGCTGGTTCAAGCACGTTAGAAGTGAAAATTATCTGACCATGTCGGCCCTATTTAACACCAAGTTGACCATCTTTGAAAATAAGAACACTGTAAATCCATACATATCAGTGTTTGAGGAACCATGCTCTATTATGGTGTTATTTATCACCAGCAGAGATTTGGAACCGTTCACTGGCAGTGCAAAGTTGTGTGATCTCAKACTTGTGAATGTTACATCAACCTCAAGCACGTGTAACTGTAACCACACCATTATTTCTCAAGTGTTTCTTTTTTTCAGAGGAGAATTTCAAAGCTCTTGGGCAGTGTCCATGGCACGGACTACAGCAGAGACAGATCACACAGAATGTGTCCCATCGTTAAAAGAGTGACTGTGATCTGGCAGCTTATAAGAGGAGCCCCTAACTATGTCTGATGGCTCCTGTCAAAAGCTATTGTCAGAAAAACTTTGATGTGAATGCCTTAGGTTTCTTTTYACCCTTTTCTCATGTTGCTGTAATTCCTCTTTTATTTCCAATGTTGGAAAAAGACAGTAGAAATGAGAAAATTATGAGCTATTACATATATTTTACAAATTTTATCCCCAAATTGTGTTTCAAARCCAGCTAACCAAAATTCCATGTTCTGAAGGGTTGGCTTTGGTTTCTAAAAGTGACTTTTACAATCATTGCTGCTGTGGAAGTTGGTCTCAGCAGCTGTACAGATGTCAGAGAGAAGTCAAGAAAAACAAAGACAGAAACAAGTAAAAAAACAAAAACAAAAGAATTTAATGTAATTTTTAGTGTGTGCCAAAAACAAGGCCTGCAAACACATCAGATCAATTCAGTTGGCGCGACCCYTCAACAGCCTCTTGTTAATTCTAATGGGACACAAAGCTCCAGCCAGGCGCCAGTGATGTCTATAATAAAATCACAACACACTGACACGAGGGAGCGCTTCAAAGCTGTCAGTCTAATTCATTCCTATAAACAACTTTTGGAACAGTAGGAAAAATCAGATTCTTGGTCAGATTTCTACCAATACTGGGATACGGTGCTATATAGTTTTCTCGCTCAAGTTTTTTGGTTACTTTTTTTTAGCTTTTTTTAAGTCCAACAATAACAGAATATGGTGCAGTAAACACACAAAATATAAAATTTTGCAAACGCCTCTTTAGAAAGATGAGAATTTTACAATGTTTCATTAAAATTAGGTCTATTTAACAACTAGCTTATTTAGTGACACATATAAAAAATTAGTGTTAAATTATAGTAGAACTAAAACTTCATGTTGCACATGTTTTTTGTTGAGCTTTTCAGTTAACTTTGATCGGATGAACACGTTAGTTGTAAATAAATTTCAACCCACCCAGTATTTTTTGTAATATTGGACACTCACCCTCGGGAGGACTCTTGTTCTGATTATTCCAAACCACCAACAGCTTAGCCAAGCTAGGCACCTTGGAGATTTCGGTGATGACGCGGAAYAGACTCTCAACTCGATCGTAGGTCAGTATCACTGCGGTGAACCCGGGAGCCCGAGGTGGGATAAGTGGCAGGAACAGAGGGCTGTTCACACTGGACCATTTCTACACAGGACACAAGAAAAATATACGGTAAGCCCTTGTGGTTAGAAACACCTTCATCAACTAAGCTTTTTTAACTAACACAAAAATAACTCTGAGCTAGACTTTACTTGTATTTTGTGTTTGACTCATTTTCAACAGAACTGGCTACAGCAATACTGTAAACAAACAAACAAAAATGGATCAGTCCACTCTTGTAGCCTTTATTCAAGGTGATGAACACGTTTCCCTACAGTGACAACCTTTCTTAGAGGGGCAAAGAAAAAACATCTTCAAATAAAAAGTGGGCTTGAAGCACAACTGAACCCATTTTTTTTTTTATCTCCACTCCCATGCGACCATGGAGTGAATAAGTGTCTCCTTCCACAGCATCAACACCAGCCTGTCAACACAGCCACTGCCGTTTACACTGAATCAGTCACTCTATCACCAATAAAATCTCATTTTACAGGCAAGTGGAAACTTTCCTGTGGTCGTTGTCACATTGGCACACAAAAAAGGGGGAAGTAATTAAAGTAACACATATATGCAGCGCACTTTCATAAAAACTGGGAATAACACGATGAGAGTACTTAACTCATTTGTCAAACTGAATAAATTAGACGAAAAAAAGCCACAGCTCGACATGTCGCCAACAGATCTGAAGGAGGCCCTGTGTTATTTTTCTTTTTACAGTTTATATAGGTCCCCAAAAAGGAATTTAATTTGACTTTTTAAACGGCTGAAGTGGTTCTTCTCTCATCTTAGAAACCATCAAAAGCCCAGAGGTTATAAGAACTAAAACTCAGAGTCTAACATTCAAAATGCCGGGATGTTTGTCCTGTTTACGCAAAGACATTACAGCTTTAATTAGCARTGAACAAAACGCTGACAGAATGAGGCATTATTATGTGTACACAGATGTAAAGAGAAGGGAATAAATGTTTTTTTTAAGTTGTCAGTAAAACATTATGCTCTGAATATGTTTGTATTTAACTCTCTAGTTTTGGACTTGTTTAAATTATTTCTAGGCATTGCGGCTAAAAGGGGTAGTATTTAGGACATAGTCCTTTAAACAGGTCAGAAATAATTTTCAATACACTTAATTGTAAATGATCAATTAAAAAGAGAACAACTTCACAAAGAAATCGAAACTGCCAACCTCTTACCATCTCTTATTTCACACCTAATGTTCAGGAGTTACACAAGTTCAAATACTTGGTTGTGATCAAACAATTTGTTTTGTCCGATAAATGTTTTAAATTCAGGTAAATCTGAAAGTCTGAAAACATTCATTCATGTATAAAATGACACAAAGGTGCCCTATATCGTAAAAAAAACCAACAACAAGCAGTTTGACCTTCATTCTGAACCCCCCACTTGTCTCTAAGGCACCCACAGTCCAGGGCAATGTGCTATCAATTACCACCATGAAGTCTCCAGGAGGAAAAAAAAAAAACATCTGCCTGATTTATAATGTGTTGTATGTAGGATCTTCTCACTGTCTATTCACTGAATCTGTTGAGAAAATACTTTCTCCAATCTCAGAAAGAAATGACCTAAAATCTGTACCCTAATACCTTTAACTTCTTCTGAGTCTGAAAAACAAACTTTATGACTGAGACAGCAATGACAAATTGGGTTAAAATCCTTTACAAAGTCAAGTGTATCTGCAGGTAAGGAACAGCTGCTTGACAGAATAAAATAAAAAAAAACAACCTAAACACTACTCAATGCATCTCCAGGATCACTGCTCAGTTACACTCAAACGTCTTCATAGTGCCTACAACCTAGTCTAAAATCCAAACACTTAGTGGATTTACATTTATTGCAACACTTGTCAACAACTGACAGATTCAAAGGCATTACTATGCATTTACACACATGCTGACATGCACACTTTTTCTCTCCCACAGACAGCTTGAAGGAGTCTCGAGATGAAACCAAGCTGATAAACAACACCAGAGAGATGGTCGCCGAGCCAACATGTCTGCAGCCACAAACTCGCACAACCAAAACGAAGCTGAACACACACAAACCGTTCTTCATATGCAGAGAAATCCCTACCAACACAATGACTAAGACACACAGGAACTTATTTTTTACCACAGAAGAAGCATCCGCCTAGCGCAGAACTGCTGACACAGGCTGGCTGCCTCGGAGCTTTCGGCTCGTACACCAAACTGCGAGGCGCTGCGTGTGCGGCGCTTCAGAACGAGAGAGAGCATCTTCTGTCACTCTGCGACACAAGTCTTGATTTACAAGACGCAGGAGGAACATAAAAACCTCTGTGGCAGCGTGAGCGTCTGCATGACTGCCATAAAAACACTTCTAAGAATACAAATAAAAGGTTCAGCTTGTTTGAACACACAGCAGTACAGATTATATGGCTGTAATGTGAATGAGTCTGCAGCGAGGTCAAAACTGAATGTGGTTTAAAGATACTGAAAAACTGTTAAAACACAACAATAAAAATAGATGTACGTACCACAACAGGTGGATTGTTCCACTGCTCATAAGTACGAGCAGCATATGGGTAAATTCGGTCATTGATGATCTGCAGAGTCGTCAAACCAATAGCCTTCATGGAGCTGAAGTAGGCCTCCCAGAACCAGTGAGCCTAAAGTAAACAAACAAACAAACAAACAAAAATAATAAGCATTTATTCAAAGAATATGTGGAAGAGCCTTAATTTGACATTTAATAAAACACACGATTTTCTATCAGTTTTAAAGACACTCAGACAAGAGTGAAACATATTTGTATTGACTGAGTACTGATGACAATTGTGTTGGAACTAAAACTTGCTTTTTAATTTCCAGTGCATAAAGCCATGAACTAGACTTTTTAAAAATTCAACTGCAGCAGAATGAACAGAATCAAATGTTTCTGTTAAAAGTTTAGTTTTTGTTTTGGTTTACTGATGTTTGGTGTCCAGTAGGGTTGGGAAGAATCGTATCGTGTGCAATTAATCGTCAGAAAAACTTTAATCGACTCTTTTTTGGCACTTGATGATTACAGGTGCTGGTCATAAAATTAGAATATCATGAAAAAGTACATTTATTTCAGTAATTCCATTTAAAAAGTGAAACTTGTATATTATATTCATACATTGCATACAAACTCATATATTTCAAATGTTTATTTCATTTAATTTTGATGATTACAAATGACAACAAATGAAAATCTCAAATTCAGCATATCAGAAAATTAGAATATTACTGAAGACCAATAAAAACAAAACAAAAACAAAAGCTACCAGTACCTGGTTGAAGGACCATGGTATCCCTG